GAACACTTCCAAGATATACACTTAGTGAACATAACACAGTTACTAAAACTGTGCATATTAGGAAAAGCAAATACTATTTTAGCTATTTTATAGGGAGACTCAGTTTTTCAAGGTCACATGGGAAAACAGTGCTGTGCTTAATAATGGAAGCCAATAATCTCTGATTTATAGTCTGATGTTCCAACTAATAGAGCCTACAGTCTCATTAATTTAGCAAAACCAAACCAGATTTTAAATTGAACTCATTTTCATCCTCTTTATGCAACAGAATTATATTAGTTATAATTTTGAACTTTTCCCTACTGACACATTCCAACAGATTAAAAAGGGAGTCTCGAAGCTTTAAGACCTTTCATAATTGTGATCTATATAATATCAGAAATGGGAGTACTTAAATAATTCTCTCTTATCTATAACACAACTCCTTGCTTATAATAAACATAGAAAGAAAATAAGATATATGTGTAGCAGTCATATATCCCTTATCCTTGGTTTCACTTTCCACAATTTCAGTTACCCATGGACAACCACAGCCCAGAAGCAGATGATCCTCCTTCTGACATATGGTCGGAAGGTCAATAGTAGGCTAATACTGCGTCACAATGCCTACATCTGTCACCTTGCTTCATCTCATCACATAAGCATTTTAGCCTCTCACATCATCACAAGAAGAAGGGTGAGTACAGTATGATATTTTGAGAGAGAGAGAGAGAGACCACATTCAAGAACTTTTATTCTATTTTATTATTAGGTATTATTATTAATACCTTACTATGCCTAATGAATAAATTAAACTTCATCATAGGTATGTATGTGTGGGAAAAATATGGTATATATAGGGTTTGGTATCATCTGCAGTTTCAGGCAACCACTGGCAGTCTTGGAACATATCCCCCCATGGGCAAGGGCGGGGGGACTATGAAGTGTTCAGGACAACAGGAAGAAGCCACAGGAGGGAAAATCTTGGCTCTTAAGAATGGTCTGTTACGGGCGCCTGGGTGGCTCAGTTGGTTGAGCGGCTGCCTTCGGCTCAGGTCATGATCCTGGAGTCCCGGGATCGAGTCCCACATCGGGCTCCCTGCTCAGCGGGGAGTCTGCTTCTCCCTCTGACCCTCTTCCCTCTCATGCTCTCTATCTCATTCTCTCTCTCAAATAAATAAATAAATAAATAATCTTTAAAAAAAAAGAATGGTCTGTTACAAGGTGTCACGATCTATCATGCATGGTCAATACTCTGTCCTTCACTGAGTTTTGCCTTTACAGGGCTTACTTCACTGTGGCAAATGTAATCCAATTTTCTCAGTTGCACATTAGCCTCTGAAAAAGCAAAGCAAAATTTGAACAGGACTCTTTATCCTTTCCTGGGGGCAATGCATTATCTATTTGTATCAAAAAAACCACCCAGTGTTTCTATCTCCTACTTTAATATATTTTTCTACAGTTTATTATGTCAGTATCTCTGAGTTTGTTTTTATTGTAATTAGTAAGACTCTTATTAAATAAAACAAAAGTAAATGGATTATAAGAGCCAGACAAGGAATAAAATTAGGTGTGGCAATGAGCAGTGAGTGGGGTAATATGGTGGTGATATATCTGTTCTGCTCCCTACAGATCTCCTTCCTACTAGCCCAGTTTCAGCCCCATTAGACACCAGCTTCCAGACATACTCGTGACATTTGGTGGTGTCATGGTTGTGCACTTAGTAATGGGCAGTTGGCAAGTTGTTGACAAATGGGGTCATCCACTAGCTGGTTCGGTTGGAACAGTATTTCCCAAAGTACAGGCTCCAATCCATGTGCATCAGAACCCCGCAGCATGCTTGGTAAGCATGCATATTTTTAGGTTCTCTTCTTGATCTGCTGAATCAGAAATGCTAGGGGTGGGCTTGAGGATTCGAATGCCAAAAAGCACACTAACATTTGAGAATCACTCTAAGTGTGGGGAAACAAAATGGAGGGAAATCCCTTCTGGCACTAAGTACCTAAGAAGGGAGAAGGAAGCTGCATTCCTAGGTAAAGAAAAGAGAGTAGACAAGCTAAAAAGGAAGCTTGCCTTAGTTCACAGCTTTCCTTAGGTTTTACCTCAGTTCTGACTGCTGCAGATTTAAGCCAGACTACAAGGGTGCTCTCACACCACGTGCTGCATAATGCCAGTGTTTGTATTATGAACAGCAAAAGTGAGCTTGCTTCTGAACTAATGCGTTTTGTCAACACTAGGGAAACCAAAGATGAAGTTTACAGCTCCCTAAAAGAGCCAGGCGGGTAAACAGTTAAAATACTGTATGATTCACAACAAGATACCACTTCACACCCACTAGAACTGTAATAATCAAGAAGACAGCAACAAGTGTTGAAAAGGATGTGGGGAAATTGAAACCCCTATATATTACCAGTAATGTAAATTGCTAGAATGTAAAAAGATGAATCTCTTTAGAAAACATTTTGGCAGTTCCTCAAAAAGTTAAACACAGAGTTACCATGTCCCGCAATAATTCTACTCCTAGGTATACACTCGAAAGAATTTAAAACATATTCACACCAAAACTTGTATATAAATGTTCAAAGCAGCATTGTTTGTAACAGCCAAAGAGTGGCAACAACCAAAATGTCCATAAACTGAATAATACATAAACAAATGTGGTGAGTGCATACAATGGAATATTATTTAGCAATAAAAAGAAAGCTACAACGTGGAAGAATGTTGAAAACATTATGCTAAGTGAAATAAGCCAGATACAAAAGGGCATATGCTATTCCATTTGCATGAAATGTCCAGAATGGGTAAATTCAGAGACAAAATTAAGATTACTGGTTACCAGGGATTAAGGGAAGGAGGGAATGAGGAATGGCTGTGGATGGGTACAGGGCTTCTTTCTGGAGTGATGAAAAGATTCTGGAATTAGATAGTGGTGATAGTTGTACATCTCTGTGATTATATTAAAAACTACTGAAGTGTACCCTTTAAGAGTGAGTTGTACAGTGTGTGAATTATATCTCTATTTTTTTTTAAGATTTTATTTATTTGTCAGAGAGAGAGAGAGAGCACACGCGCAAGCAGAGGGAATGGCAGGCAGAGGGAGACGCAGGTTCCTCACTGGGCAAGGAGGAGCCCGATGCGGGACTCGATTCCAGGACCCTGGGATCATGACCTGAGCCGAAGGCAGATGCTTAACCGACAGAGGCACCCAGGCGTCCCTATATCTCTATTTTCAAGAGCAATGGAAGAAGTGTCCAAGAAAAAAAATAATAAACTGGACTACATGAAAAAAATGCTTGGTGGCTGTCTACAGGAAAAACTCACTTCCATTTTCTTCTGCTCACACTCAACACTTCTGATACCAGATGTGTGGGTTTTCTACACATCAAGTAATTCTGTGACACCAGCTGGGTGTCCTGCAGTCAGTTCAGTTCTACCTGGTTTTAGCATCAGATCTCATAGGTTAAGGGCTCAGTCCCACAACACTGCCCACCCCACCCCCCCACCCCCCACTTAAGATGCCAAGTGCAAGTCCAGGTATTAGAGTAAATCTGAAAATTCCCAGAGCCGCTAAAGGCCTTGCCCTAGAGGATGAAATTGACATCTGAGGGGGCATGGCCCTGGGGATAAGAAGACTGGATCAGGTCCTGTCAATGAGGAGATGAACTATGAGAATGGTGAGGACATCATTGTGGGTGGAGAGTAAGGTCTGGATATGGACAGTTTGAAGGACATAGAAGCAGTAGAACTCAATGACCTATCGACTGAGAAGGCTAAAGGAGTAGGAATCAAGGATGACTCTCATCTAACGGTTCTCATTAGATGGAATAGCTTCCTGGTGAGGCCATTCAATAAGCAAGGAAATTCAGAAGAAATTAAAGTTAAGAGTGAAGAGAGTGATAGATTCCATTTCTGACAGGTAGAATTTGAGGTATTAGTGGAACATCCAGAACTTAGGGAAAAGGTCTGCACTAGAGGTAGGGTGTTGGCAATTATCAGCTGCAGCATAGTAGAGTTTAGGCACAAGAAAATGTTCCCTTCGTGAATAAGGGCTTCTTATCAAATTAATAAATTACTCTTGGATTGTTTCAACATTAAAAAAGCAAAGTGGTTTAATGAAGAATAGTATAAGAGAACCAAATAGTAATTATATGATATCCACGTGGTTCTGTTTCCTCTGTTTCCATTTTGAACATGTATAGATCTTTCAGGGTTTAACTGCAAGATTTTCTTGTTTCATTTCTTGCCCCTAATAAAGAAGCTTTCAAGAGAATACTAAGGTTTTAATACAGCAGGAGGGGAAATCTCATATGAAAGATCAGGTTTTACTTTTTCTTTCTTAACATGTCTTTTTTTCTATTTTGTTCTTTCCATATAGTCTATGGTATTATACAAAATGAAGGAAAACACCAGAACCATCTAGATCCAGGGCCACAGTTCAATTTTCTGTCTTTAAAACAGCCTTGAAAGTGTTAAATCCTTGGGGTTGATCTGTGTATTCAGAAGGAGCCATGGAGCTGCTGATATAGAAAAGCATTTTGTGTCAGGGACTGATTTATGCCTTGGAGTAGGACAAAGAGAAGAATACTCAGCCCCTGTGGTATCTGTTGCTAGGGGAGCATCAGGCCATCTGCTAGGCTTTAATAAAACATGGCAATAACATTTTGGTTTGAAGCACAGAATAATTTTCCAAACCAAAATGAAAATTTGTCAGCAATTGAGGAACTTGTAGGTTTTGTGTTTTTTTTGTTTTTTTTTTTTGAAGACATTTGTATCTGTACCATTTATATTCAAATGAGAAGAGATATCAATATCTTTCTTTTTCTGTTCTGGGCTTATTCTCAAAACCTTGTATTGACTGCCCAATTCGAACTCCTCAGCCTGCCATTTGAAGCCTCCAGAATCTGGTTTCACTGAAGATCATGTCAGGTGGCAGCTATGATGTGTGTTTATGTGTGTGTGTGTGTGTGCATGTATGTGCATGTGTGATTTGCCTTACCCTCTCTCTCTGCCCTGGCTCACAGGTGAATGCTGTTCGGGTGTATGTGAATAGTTCCTCAGAGAACCTCGACTACCCAGTCCTCGTCATGGTTCGCCAGCAGAAAAGGGTGCTGTCCTGGCAGGTTCCTCTGCTCTTCCAAGGACTGTAAGTGGATCTTCTCCTGGACAACTTTGCTACATTTGTTTTCTTTCAATGACCTAGACCTTAATTGGTGTTTTCCCTAGTAAAAGGAGAAATCAGACATTTGGAATGTTGATATCATATGCATCCCAAGTGCAAATAATGGTCATAGCACATAGCCCAACCTGTCCAAGTCTGTTCAGTTTCCATCCTCTTTTTTTGTCTTTTAAGTATGCTGGGCATGGAGCCAAATGTGGGGCTTAAACTCACAACCCTGAAATCAAGACCTGAGCTGAGATCAAGAGTCAGATGCTCAACCAACTAAGCCACCCAGGCACCCTGACTCTTTGGATTCAGATAAGCACTCTACCTAGATGTGTAGCACCTGGAAGAACTTTAAGCATTTTTAATTCTATCCAGAATATTCTGTAGCTCTTGGTTAGTGGATCATCCACTGAGGACAGGGCTAGGTTCAAGAGTCAGTGTAAATGAGTAATACCTCCATTCTCCAAAATGCCCACAGAGTGTGCATCCTTCATTCTACAGCATTTAAGTGCTACTAAGTGCTAGAAACTAGGGATACAGCAGTGGGGGGAGAGGAAAACAAAATCCCTGCCCTCATGTAGTTTATACTTTTGCAGGAGAAACTGTATAAGGTACTATTGCACTACTAAGAAAAAAACCAGAAGGCATTCAGACATAGGTACATAGTATGGCATTAACTCATTTTTAGTGGCTGAGTAATTTGAGGATTGAAATAGTAACTCTCATAGCCTTGACTTGGGCTCTGGGGCTTTGTTTTTTTTATGTTCCATTTAGCAAAAGCTCAAAGAGTGGAAATATGAAATCAACTGGTTGTTTCATCAGCACAATTTCCCCTTCAACATTTGGTATTTTTTCCTCATTGAATTAGGAAGATGGTGTAACATAATATAGACACAATCAAAGTGAACTGGCCAGCACTGAAGAGTCCTCAAGTCCCTGTTATTACATCACACAAGCCTATGCCCAAGACTCAATCACTATCATAGGTCCAGTCTGAAATTTAAAACATAAGGACTTGAAAACAAATTTGGAGAGAAATGAAATAAGATTGGCTTTTTTTTCCTTGCTTGTTCACCAAGTCTCTCTTTCATTCTTGCTTGTTTTTCCTTCCATCTGCTGCTACAGATACCAGAGGAGTTACAACTACCAGGAAGTAAGCCGCACCTTGTGTCCCTCAGAAGCAACCAATGAAACAGGACCTCTGGAGCAACTGGTAATTGTAGATGTCACCTCCATGGCTCCACTGGGCGCCCAGTACAAACTGCTGGTTACCAAGATCACGCACTTCCAGCTACGGTAAGCAGGACGTCTTGTGGCCTTTCTCAATTCATTTGTCTGCACATGCTCAGTCCAGTCTCCCTTCTGCCAAGTCAGCACTCAAGAAGGAAATTAGCCACTTGGCATATTGTCTTAGCAACTTCTGACCAGTCCTGCTCACAGGTGGGCAGCAGGACTGTAATCTGTGCAATAGGGAAGCAGTAGCGACTGGTGCAGAGGGGAACAGTGCCTGGCCTCAGAGGCATGTCTATTCTCAGGGGTCTGTGTGAGGACCCTGCCTGCCTGTAGTCCAAGCAAGAGGCCCCGGTGACTGGGTACTTTTGTATTATGCGTCAGTACCACTCTCCTGAAGGAAGTTTTATTTTTCTTCTGAGGAAGACCTTAACCTATTTTCTTGTCCTTATTGCTAGTCCAGGTTTCTCCTTCCAAGTTAAGAATGTATACAGGTAGAAAATAGTGTCATATGGCTTTGCCCTTTATGCAACAACTAATGACTATTTCCTCCTTCTCCTTGCACTACCATCCTTTGAAACAAAATCAGTTGTTTTTTAATTCATCTCAAATTGTTCGTATTAGACATACATATAATAAATTCAGTTGGGGGAATGGTCTCCAAGAGATCTGTCCTTTTCCAGAGGTTACTCTTGTAAAATATTGCATAAACCTGTGTGAAAATTTAAACAGAAAGGTCATTCCTTAATAAGGCCAGACAGTTCAAGGACTTTCTGCCCCATTCTCTTCTAAGATCAAGGCTTCTCAAGGGTTCAGACCACTTCGTCCTCTCTCAGTGTTTTAAATAAATTTTAAAAGAAAATATCATTAAATTGGTTTATTAAAATTAGAATTTGTACTCATCAAAATGTATCAGTAAGAGAACAAAAGGACAAGCCATAGACTAAAAGACAGCACATATAACTATAAAGGGTTCATAGCAGAATATATAAAGAACTCCTACAAATCAATAAGAAAAAACAGGTAAGCTCTTGGCTGCTGTCCCCATTATCACCCACCCTTCTGTGGCTCTGGTTTCTTACAGGCAAGAATCTTGGCACCAAGGAGTCTAGGTACTGCTGAGGGTAGAGACTAGTCCCCACATGTGCACAAGTTTGTGTACCCAAGTCTGTGTGCCCATAGGTCCAGACTCAGCTTCACTGGAACAAATAGGTTTTCTGAGGAAAAAATGAGGCAGTCTCAGGAGCAAAAACTGAGAAAATAATTTTGACCTAGACCTCTCACTAGAGCTTTGGAACAGAGAGTGAAGAGTCTCAGAAGGGGAGTCAATGTTTATATTTACCCAATGGAATAAAAATATATATATTTTTTTATTATAGTTGAGTATAGAGTAGTTGGTATGGAGACATTATGGCCTATAAGCCTAAAATATTTACTATTTGGCCCTTTGAGATATAAAAAGCAGATGAACATGATCAACAAGCTTGAACTAACTAATGTACTTAGGAAACTGTATCTCAAAATTATAGAATGCTTAACCTTTTCAAATGCACATGCAACATTTACCAAGGTTGCCAAGTTCTAATGCATATCTTGATAAATTTAAAAGAACTGAAATCCTGTATATGGAATTGAGACAGAAATCAACTACAAAATTGTGTCTATAAAACCCCCAAATGTTTGGAAATTAAGTAGTCTACTTCTAAATAACTTATGAGTCAAAAAGTAATAATTACCATGAAAATTAGAAAATATTCTGAATGAATGATAATGAAAATATGACATATCCAAACTTCTGGGATGCAACTAAGCACTGCTTAGAGGAAAATGCATAGTTTCAAATATATATGTTAGAAAAGAAGACTGGCTGAAAATCAATGTGTTAAGTGTCCATTTCAAGAAGTTAGGGGGTGCCTGGGTGGCTCAGTCGTTAAGCGTCTGCCTTCGGCTCAGGTCATGATCCCAGGGTCCTGGGATCGAGTCCCATATCGGGCTCCCTGCTCGGCAGGAAGCCTGCTTCTCCCTCTTCCACTCCCCCTGCTTGTGTTCCTGCTCTCGTGCTCTCTCTCTCTCTCTGTCAAATAAATAAATAAAATCTTTAAAAAAAAAAAAGAAGTTAGGAAGTAAAACTCAAAGAAAGTGAAAGGAAGTAATGAAATAAGAGCATAAAACAATGAAATAGAGAACAAATCAACAATGGACAAAATCAACCAAACCACAAATCAGTTATTTGAAATGACTAGTAGTATTTTTATACCTGTTTTTTAAAAACATAAATAAGGCAAGCCCATTGGAAAAAAAATAGGCAAGAGATTTGAACAGACACTTTACCAAAGAAGGTATCCAAAATGATCCCCCAAACACAATCTTACTGGCTATCAGAAACACAAATTAAAACTATAATGAGATTTCACTACACCTACCAATTTCTATAATTTGAAAAGACTGACAATGTGATTTCACTCCTACTTATTATAAATCCAAGTCCTAAATATATAATTGTCCTATTCATCCAATGGAATACTACACAACAATAAAAAGGTACAAACTATTGCTATACCTGGCAACGTGGATAAATCTCACAAACACAATGTTAAGCAAAGGAAGCCAGACAAAAGGAATACATAACTGTTCAATTCCATTTATACAAAGCTTAAAAATAGGCAAAACTATTCTGTAATGTTACGAGTCAGGATAGTGGTAACTTTGGGGAGGAAAGAGGAAGTATATGGTTGTTTACCTGGTGAATTCATTCAGATACATACTTATGACTTGTGTTTTTTTCTATATGTTTGTTACACTTCAATAGAAAGATTAATTTTTAAAAAATCAGAATATTTTTATTATATTTAAATTTTTAAAATATATTTAAATTTTATTAAATTTAAATATTTAAACATATTTAAATCTTTATTATATTTAAAAATATATATTACTTTTTGCAGCTTATTTTTCTGATCAGAATGTCTTGTTCTATTATAAAGCTCACCTTAAATTTTCTAAAGCAGTTTATAAAGAAGTCTGTAGCCAGTGGAGTTGCTAGTAGGAATCAAATATTTATCTTGGTCTTCTCTGCAGCTCTTGACAATGTATACCCATGCAGATGGATGGACAGATGGATGAATGAATAGCTAGAAAGATGGAGAAGTAGTCAACAGCATTTTTTCCAAGTCCCTTCACTAATTTTAGTGTAGAAAAAAGTGACATGATAATTTCAAGAGCAAAAAACCCCTCACTCCCACCTCTGGGGGAAAAAAAAGGCAGAAAAAGTTTTCTACCCTGATCAATTAAGTGAGAGTTTCTAGGAGGGAGGTTTGAGCCTTAGAATATATATATTTTTTAAGTTTCCCAGGTGATTCTAATGTGTAGCCAGAGTTGAGAACCACTACCTCTAAGCAATTTCTAAATATGGTGCTTACATTTAATTATTTTAATGCTTAAATCTATTTATGATATTAAACAATATGAGAATTCATGGTGATACATTTGAAGGAGGTGGCAGCACATTACTTGAACAGAGTGCAGTTTGAACTTCGGAGAAGCCTCACATTTACTGATTGGGCTCTGTGTCTTTGACCTGTCACTGTCACCTGGTGGCAGTGTACTTGAATTCTAGAGCTGGTTTTCCTGGGAAGCTAATTAGACCCTTTGGAGAACTGAATTCTGTGAAACTGAAATCATAAGGTCACAACTCGGTGCAAGTGTTAATGAATGATATGCATGCCAGTAGAACTGCAAATCTATTCGCTCACATTGTTTTCTGTTTCCACCTCTTATAATGTGACTTGACCTCCGCAACCAGACATTCAGAGCATTTCAAAATGCACAGTTACTAGGGCTTTGATGAGAATAAGGTAAGTCTGAGAAGAGATGGTAACTGAAATATATATGCATCTCTTCCTCCTTGGCTCTGGATTGTCCCACACCAACCTTGCTGGTGACCCAGAAATCCAGAAGAGGATGGTAATGGGCAAGAGCTGGGGATTGTGGTGAGATCTGAAGTCTAGGTATTGAGAGAAACACTGAAAAATCAACTTGAAAGTCCTAACATGGCAGTTTCTGTTGTATATTTTTGAGTGGCAGACTAGAAGCTATGTGAAACATGTTTCAGGATTTTTTTTCCCCTAGAATCATGAATTTTAAGAATGAAAGGAACTTTGGAAGTTGAATCCACTCACCTCATTTTTACAGATGAGCAAAAGAGATGCCCAGAGAGGTTAAGTGACTTATCTAAACCCACATCTAGGAAAGAATAAAATCAGGACTAGATTCTACTTCTAACTCCCAGTTCTGAGCTCTTCCCACAATAATATGCTATTTCTACTTTGTGTTTAAAACTGTCCTCTGAATTTTTATGTTGCCCTAAATATGTTTCTCAATTCCATGAAACATTTATTTATTTCAATCAAGTCTTAAAAACAAAATTCTGCCTTAAAGCATTACTCCCTGCCATCTAACTATCCCTCACCCACCTCCACACACACACACATGCACCTCTGCCACCACTCATTTTCCCAAATTCCAGTGACCTAGCATTCTGTGAAGCAGAGTGTGAAGTTGCAGACAGGGAAGAGCCCAAGGATGTAGGGGCAAGCAGGCACCGGATCATGGGGTGGGAGGAGCTTGGAAGGGGTGTGAAGAAAGGTAGTTGTCTAGGTGGTAATAGTTGTGTGGAGGACTTGAAGGGGACAAGACTGGAGGCAGAGAAATTAGAAGGCTTGCTGCAGTGGTCAAGGTAATAATGAGATGAACTGAAGAATTTAGAGATGAAATTGGCAAAACTTGATTGGACATGAAGAGTGAGGGAAATGGGAGAGTCAAAGATGGCCTCTTCCCTTGTAAATGGTGGTGCCACTGAGGAAATGAGAAGGTTGAGGAAGGAAGGAAGAGATGGTAAGTTCACTTTGGGACATGTTGAACTTGAAGTGCAGATGTTGGGTAGAATGTTGGATATACAGCAGCCTGGTGCTCAGAAGAAAGTTCTGGATTACAGATAGCAGCCTGAGTAGAAGTGCTTCAGGGAGGCTGGTCCACACAGTGCCAGAGGTGGAATAACAGGAGACAGC